TTTTACAAGATACTATGGGCCAGTTACGACAACTACTTTATGTGGTTTTACTATAATCTACTCTCTAAACCTTACCTTACTATCAGACGTTTGCAGCAAAATATATGTCACCCTGTCTAATTACACTACAAAACTAAAAGGGGGCGTCTACCGAACAAATCCTCTAGAATTGACTGGAAGCTTCTGCCCATATAAAAACAAATCAGCTCCATCATCAAGGATAAATATGGAAGCAATCGGCATTACTCATGCTAATTACGCCAATTCTGGCCCGTATATAAGCAAATCAGCTTCATCATTAATGAAAAACATGGAAGCGATGGCATTACTCATGATAATCTTGCCAATTGTATATTCTAGAAGCGACTAGATTGCAGTTTCAAAGCCTATAAATATTGGCAAATCCCGATCGATCGGATTCAGAAATCCAATTCGCAAACGTTTTCAAACACTGCAAAGACATACACCAAGCTCCAATTCACACTACAATTAACGATTAGTACATTCAAAATGGCATATACTATCGTTTACCCAAGAAATAGCTACTATCAATCACCATACTGGTAAGCAATCCATATGCACTTTATAAAAGTTCGTCTGCATGACGTAGAGCAAAGACTGCACTTTCCAACAATAATAAAAGAATTGCTGTGATCGTTGCCAATCATTATACTACAGCAGTGGTTAGCAAAATCGACTTAAAGTATGCATTAGCAATCAAAGTAGTAACCAAATCTCAGTCTTGATCCAAGAAAAGCAGATTGTCGAATGGAGAGACATGTATCGATTTCGGCGCATTCAGTATTGACGAGCTTCAGTATTACGTTGAAATCATAATTTAACCATCAAAGTGAGTACTACATGTAAATGTATCAATCTTATTTCCTGCATTTTTATTTTAGCTATTCAAGCAGCCATTACTCCCCTCTTCCACTGGCTTCTAATCCATGGTTTGATGCCTATGATGATTTGTTTAGTAATTATGACCATCCTTGTCAATACAAAATTGTCGGATTGTTACCTTCCGAAAGACAACGATCCGCTCCAAAACAGTGTAATGCAACTTGTAAGGAAGCAGCATCCAAGGAATGTTGTACAACGGAAAAGTCGAGCCAATCGCAATCTGCATCCAAGAAAGAGGATGAGACGGCCAAAGAGCCAAATTGAGCAAGCCATCATCAGGAGAGAAT